ACCCTAGAACTGTTCTCAGGCACTTGATAATGCTCCCAGTGACTGGAACAAAATAAAAGACTGTGGGCTTAATGCTGTACCATTCACTCACCCTGTCCCTGCCACACCCCATGAGATAGGCACTGTGACTGCACTTACAGAGGAGGAACATGAGTTTCTGAGAGAACAAAGCACCAGCTCCTATTACAAAGGGCAGACTTGTGAGGACTGAACTGTGGATCAGAGAATGGGAACTCAGGAGACCCTGCTTCATGATTACCTTTGCTCCTCGCAGTCACCCTCCGAGGTCAGCGCTGTTAGGCATTTTACCCACATGGAGGCCAAGGCTTGGAGAGGTTAAGGAACTGCCTTGAGAATGTCCAGCTGGCCAGTCTGAGAATAGGGCCTCTGCATTCTCACCCTGTCTGGAGCTGAACCTGTCTGTTCTCGGGACCCCGCCAACCCGAACCTCCAGCTGTCTTAGGGTAATGTGTGTGGCCATGTGGTGTGTGGCCTGGTCACGGATCTCTGGCGCCTGAAGCTGGAGAATGGCTGAGAGCAACAGGGTACAGAGCAAGGCCTTTCCACAGGAAGCCTGAAGGCCTGCCGTCAGCCTGCCTTGTCAGCATAGGCCTCACTTTGCTCCTCTCTCAAATGGGAGGGTTGAAGTAAGTTGTTTCTCATTTGGCTCCAACTCTGAGAGTCCCTAATTTGAAAGTCCTAACTCCTTGGCCTTGAATTGATTGCAGGATCCCAGAGCCCAGGTTAAGGGTGGATGTTACCACTATGAGCTTTGGGCTTGGGCTGGTGGGTCAGGAAATGTTTAGGAACCCAACAGCCTTCCATCCCCTTCTATTATTCCCAACGACTGAGACTCAGAACCTCACAGTAGGGAGTGAGTATCACCTTCTGGTTAAAGGAAGTGAACCCAGAGCTGTTGTCAAGCCTCGGTTTTCCCTAAAAAATGTAACAAGGAGACATCTAGAACAAATCATGTCAGACACCCAGTCAGTAATGCTGCCAGAGAGACCACTGGGCCCTTCCATCCTGTCCTGCCCTTCTGGTTGTGTTCCTGGGCATGTGGGGGACTGGAAGAGAGCCTTAGGCAGAGAAGCTGGTAGCAGCTGAAGATCTAGGTGGAGGGAGGGCAGCCCAAAGTGCTGGGTAAAGAACATGCTCAGGTTGGACATAGGCCAGCCAAGACTAGCCACCCAATGGCAGGGATGGATTGGAATTTCATTTTGATTCCAAAGAATCTTTTTCTTTCTTTTTTTTTTTCTTGGCGATATTGAACCCAGGTATCTGCAAATGTTGGGCACATACTGAGTATTGAATCAGGTATTTGCATAGGTTTGGCACCTAGCTACCTCTATCTCCCCAGCCTGTTCTAAGTATTATTTTGAGACAGAATCTTGCTAAATTGCTGAGGCTGACCTCGAACTTGTGATCCTCCTGCCTCTGCCTCTTGAATTGCTGAGATTACAATTGTGCACCCCTGCACCTGGCCAAGTTATCTTTTTTAATTTATGCAGTTAGCTCTGCAGTTAGAGCAGTGCTTGGGTGACTTTTATAACCTTCTTGCTTCCCATTTAGAAAGTAAAACCCAAGAGCCAGCTTGTCAGGGTGGAGAAGTGGCTCATTACATGGATTTGACCTGGTTTGGAGGAGGAAAGTCACCCTCTTCATTAGAAGGAGGTGGTGTCTCCATGTGGGTGAGCTCTGGTACCAGGCCCTCGAGCATGTGAGGCAAGTACTCTGCCACGGAGCTGCTCCCCAGTCCTGGCCTGGGCTTCTTGACCAGAGGCTCAGTGTTCTTCTGATCTTTTCTTTCCCATCTGTAAACTCAGTCCATAAACGCCTGCTACATACCTAGGGGAGAAAGTGCTTCATAGAGACACAGAGTCACATTGCCCTTTTTAGACATCTACTGAGACTCACTGCTCCTGTGTTCTGTGTATACCCGTCACTCCAGGCTTCTTTACCTGAGATGTACAAAGAAACATGGGCAGGGTCAGTCCCCACTGTGCGCCGCCTGCTGCCTCCTGACCAGCCTGTGCGACACCATTGGGGCGATTCTGGCCAGACAGCTCACAATCCAGGTATGTTGGGCCCCACATGGAAGCAGCCACAGTGGCTTCTGTTTTCTTCCTTCCACTGCAAGGCAGTTCCCCCTCAGGGCCTGTATCCTTCTGTTCCTTCTAGCGCAGGTCAAATGCTCTTCTTCCTGATGTCCACATGGCTCATCACTGACTTCCTTCAAGTGTTTGCTCAAAGTCAACTTCAAAATAAGCCCCCAACCCCTGTGTAGAATCATAACCCACCTCTTCCTCCAGCAGTTCAGGGCCCCTCATCCTGTGCTATTTTTTTCCACAGCTCAAACCCTCATTTACCACATACTTACCCTTATTGCTCATTGTCCATTAGCCCCACCAGAAAATCAGCTTCACAAGGCAAGGAGTTCTTTACCGTCATACCCACCACTTCAGAAAGCTTATAGTAGGTGCTCAATAAATAGTTATTATGGTTGTTACGGTTTTTAAAGCTCTGAGCCCAGCCCCAGCTGACTCAAGGGCAGCTGAATCCTTTCCCAGGTGCTGATGTGGGCTGTGGAGCAAGTGAGAAGCCATCTCTAGTTTCCCAAAAGTCAGGCCCTCACACAAACCTCTGTAGAAACATCCTATCTGCAAATATCTTCTAAGGAAGACTTGCAGGGTCCCCCTGCAGGGACCTCATGAGCCTTGTGCCCACCAAGGTGGAAGTAAAGGAGATGACCTAGTGGTCAGGACACAGGTTGCGAGACTTCTAGGCCCTGCTTTGAGCAGTATTCTCTCAGAAGCAAAACCCCTTTTTTTATGGATGCTCATTCCCATAGAATGAGGCCCCACTCAAGTCCGATGATAATAACTAATGTTTACTAGATACTTAACTATATCCTTCCATGTATTACCTATTTAATCCTCAGATTCTCCTCTGGCATGTGCTCATCTCCCTCTTCTATATAGGTGGAAACGGAGGCATCGAGACGTTAAATAATTTGTGAAAAGTCACCAGCCAATAAGTAATGTCAGGACTCCAACTCCACCACGCGGGCTCCTAATCTAAGTGTACTGTCATAGTCACTGGTGCCTCCGTAGGTCCTTTCCTCTCTCCAGGCACTGTTCTAAGCACTTTCCACCAATTATCTCAAGAAATCTTCTCAACAGGTTTTGGGGAGGCTCTGTTATGCCTGTTTCACAGGTGGGAAAACTGAGGTTCAGGGAGATTCAGTGGTTGGGCCATAGTTAGACAGCCATGGAAGCAAAGGGCTGGGTTCTTGTCCCATCTCCACCAGTGGGCATCTGTGTAACTTGGGGTCAGTTGTTGGAGCATGCCCCATGTGCTCAAACATGAGTGGGAGGGATCACTGGACTGATTTTACAGGGTCAGGGGATCTTGGGCTGATAGTCACCATAATTGCTGGGAAAAGATGCTCAAATACCAAGACTGAGTTTCCTTCTGCCCCCAGGTTTTCAGTGGTGCCTACCTAGCGACTATTGACTTAGCCAACTTCATGTTCATCCTCTTCCCAGTCTGTGAATCCAAATTCAAGTCTCATTCGGGTGAGCGTGTGGCCGTGTGCTCCTGTCTTCATTCAAACATTCATTCATCAGTTGGCTTGGTGCCTGCTGCTTATCACAACTTGAACTGGGCCCCAGGCAGGCACAAATGAATGAGGTCCTTGACATCTGCCAGATGAGACAGCCAGGGCCCTAAGCTAGTCACTAATCACTAGTGTCAGCTTGGAGGTGTGGCACACTGTGGGCAACCAGAGGGAACGGATTGCGGGTATCAGGGAAGGAACTCAATACGGAACTGGGAGCCCAGGAAGGGGCAGTCAGGAGAACAGAACAGCCTGGGCCAGGGCTGGGAGCAGGGATGAACAGCACATAAGTCTGGGTGGCCAAGCAAAGCCCCCAGACTTCTGTAAATGGATACCAGAAAAAGTTTGGACCAGCCCTGGCAGAACAGGGCCTGGAAGTGACTGAGATGGACAAGGAGCCCTGAGTACGTGAGACTGAGTATTCCTGAGAAGGGACAGCTGTGTGCTGGGGTCCTTGTTCAAAAGAGGGTTTGCTTGTCCCAGTGAGGGATATGCAGTGCCCCCAGCTGCTCCATGCTGCCCAGAGGAGAAGTGTTCTTAGATGCTCAGAGGAGTGTGTGTCTTAGATCTTGAGAAAACTGTCAAAGACTTTTCTTGTTGCTGTTTGCCCTGCTTATCAAGCACGAGCCTGGTATAGACTGTTCACTCATGGGTACATTCATGAAACTTGGCCCAGTTCTGCTCTGTGCAGATTATGGAAATGGCCAGGGCATGGCGTCCATCCTTGAAATGAAGGACACCAATTGTTAGGGGAAGAGGGAAGGCATTTCAAAGAGGTGGCCTAACCCCAGGGACTTGAGGTGGGAAGGATCCAGCTGCAGCACAACATGCCAGCTCTCACCATGCAGCAAGCTGGCAAGTTCTAGGTTCCAGAAGACACATGGGATGTTGATGTCTCTTGCAGGCCGACACACCAGAAAGAGGAAGAGGAGGAAGCGGCTCAGAGCTGGCATATTTGCCCTGGCTCTGCCACTGAGCCTGGGCCCAGGCTGGGCTCTCTGGGCTGCTGTTCCAAAGGCTTCCGCTGTAGTCCGGGGGCCCCAGCGGAGGCTGCTGGGAAGCCTGCTGCAGGTGAGGCTGAGCCCCCTCAGTGAGCACACAGGGCAGAGCGGGGTTGCCTCCCTCCTTGGGGTCCCTGCTTGCTGAATGCCCTGGGTACGTTGGGAGTGGGGCTGGGGGCCAGTAAGCCCTTGCCATTTTGGGAAGGAAACTTCTAAAAGCAGAAAAGTGCCTATCAGGTTCTTCTGCTTCTTGGGACACATGGATGATCCCATAGAGTGCTGAGAATGTCATCTATTCTTGCAGGAAAATACTGAAGTCCTCGGCTACCTGCTGGGTGTCATTGCTGCCTTGGGCGCCTGGGCCTCTCGGATACCCCCACTCTCCAGAATCGTGAGGCTGGGGTGGGGCT